TGGCTTTGGACATTTACGGTGCCAAGTTCTGCAAGTTTCCAGCAATTTGGAACTTGGCCATCATAATATAAAGTATGCATAAATGCTACATGAAAAGGAGCTCTTGCACGACGCTTGTAGATCAATAGGTTGACAGTTGGGAGTATGGCAATTTTCGGGTACTTCCAATGCAATTCTAATGATTGACATAGCTACAAGAACCTTCCAATTCAACACACATTGCAACAAAGTGTTTGCATGTGTACCACTCGAGTGAGCATGTTTGCAGAAGCAATGTGTGTTTTCCATATCAATGTTAGTTGGGCTATAGTGTGGCGGTACCTAGTCAGCCACCATTGCGCTAGTTACGAACCAATCATTGGGTGACATGGCGCCATGATTGATAGTAAGTTTAACAAGGGGAAAATGCAACTATGATGCAGAAGTGCAAACTTGAGAATAATGAGGTGTGGGTTGCTTTGACCATTGTGCAGGTTGTTGACACCCAAAAGCCTAACACTATATAGCCAAGCATTTTTAAAAGCTTTATTGAACGAGTTTGCATGTGTCCAAAATGTGGCCATTTCCGAATTTTGCCATCAAGCATTGTCCGCCACTCGAATTCAAGAGTAGTGGAGAAGGGTATCCATTTTGTCACATAACATCAATACTACAGCTCAACAATGAGTCCGACAATTTGTCCGGGCTGGAGTCCTCGACGACAATTCTCACCCTTCGCATTCGACACTTGGTACTGTCACACATGAAAGGGGAGTTCGGTCAGCAAAAAAAGGGCCTGCCTGCCCAGCCGCCCTTGTATCTCACCTCGTCAAGGCGCCCGAAGCTTTCTTTCCGGTGGGCACCGCCGCACCGCGCACGGCCAAGCAGGCGAGGCGGCCAGCGCCCGCACCGTCCAGCAGATGGGGCCCTGGGGCTACCTCCGCCGCAAGCTCCAACCCCAAAGGTAGGCCCCGCCATCAGTGCGCCCGAACCCTGTCTTCGATCCGCAACCTGCGCACCACCCCGACGGCCCCCACCTCGCCGTGACTCTCCGCCAGCCTTCCGATGGCCGCGATTTGCGGCCAGATGGCCCCCCCCGCTCACGGCACCTCAGCGCATCTCCCTCCTTGGGCGGGCCCCAGGGGTTCTGGCCCGGGCGGGAGCCCGGATCGCCCGTCGCTTCCCCCCCGTCGCCAGATCTCTGGGCAGTGGTCAGACTGCGGCTCAAGTCGCCGCCCACCGCCTGGGGCTCACTCGCCGCCACCCCTCCGCGTCGCGCTGCGCCCCCTGCCTTGGAGGTCCAGCACGCAGTGGGGCGCCACGCGGCGCCCCCTCATGATCCCGTCATCCTCACAGGGGAAAATGGAACCTGTATTATGGAGTATTGCTCCTCGTCCCTCCTTTGTACAGCCCGGTCGGTGTGGCCTTCCTGTGGGCGCCGCCCCCCACCCTGCCCCTGGCTGACGCTGACTGATCGCCGGATCCCCAGTAGTAAGGGCCCGTATCCGCCGGGATATTGTGACGTGGGCCAGCCACGGCCGTTTGTGCCAACTGGTAATGAAAAGAACGATCCGTCTTGACGGGCAATTGAAGCGGGCGGTGCCGATTATTCGACGATGTTTGCCCACGCCCCATCCCGCTGGTGCTCGGCCACAGTCCACCCCGTTTCCGTGCGTCGCCGTGGGTGCCCGCACTCAGGCGGTTCCAGCCCAAGGGACGGAGGGCAGCTGTCGAGGCGCGTGGCCCCGGGCAGGCCACCTGCCCCCCCTCCCCTTTCCGCCCACTGCCCTCCCCCGCAGGCGTCCATTTTTACAACGCTGAGCTCGACCCAAGGAGGCCCGCACATGCGCCCCTCAGGATGCGGGAGGATGTCTCACAGGGTGGGTGCGCCTGCGGGGCCCCTGGGATGGGTGGTGCGCGCGTGGTCTTGTTCTGGGCGCCTGCTGTGGCGTTGCAAGGCGGCGGTGCCTCCTTTATCTGGTGGGACTTGGCCGCGCTTGGGGCGGGGGGGGCCCGGCAGTTCTGGCACTGCGCGGCGCCTGGCCGCTTTCCCGGAGTCGCCGCGGCGTGGATCGCCCTCTCGCGGCGGCCCTTGGTCGGGCGCTAGCGGAAGCTGGACCAGGCCAGCTCGAGTGGGCCTCCGGGAGGCCCCTCTGGATGACTTGCCATCGAGGCCGTCCATTGCGCCATCCCCTGCTGGCACCACGGGGCGCCAGCCCACGGTGATGGTCCACGGCAATGGCGGGAATGGCCCGTGGGCGCTGGCGCCGCGGGCCGCGCGGGGGCGCTCACCGCCGCTGTCGTTGTCGCTGTGGGGACGCCTCCCGGCTGGGAGCGGGGTGGGCGCGGGGTGGGGCTGGGTGGGAAGATGTTGCCGTGGCAAAGATTGGGATTGCGTTGCCCAACTGTGCGGAACGGGCGAAGTGGGAAGGCGCCGCAAGGCGACGCGGATTTGGCGCCTGTTGGGCGCCCTGGGGCGCCCAAACCCGGGCTGGGGCGGGGTCGGGGTGTGCGATGCGTGCAGGGCGGGAGGGGGAGGCTTGCGGCGTGCGTTGACTGCGGGCGCGACTGCGCAAAGGCGCCGGCGGAGTGTCTGTGTCCGCTGCCTTGGCGGGCGCTTGGGACGAAAGCGGCCCAGTACGATGATCTACAGGCGAATGGGAGGTCCGTGGCGGCCAGGCCGTGAGGGCGCCTGAACTGCGGTTCACCCGCGCGTTGGTTTCGAATTCGACCTCAGTGCCAGCGCCCGTGACAACAGTAACCAGGGAATGGATTTTGGCATCGCTGGGAACTTATTGGCAGCCGTGTTGAGCGCAGTGGAGGCGCGTTTTGCCACCACCAGCTCCCCGCTTACTGTTTGGCGGGGTCGCCGTCTTGGCCGCGCCGTGCGGGTGGCGGTGTTGCTCACCGTGTTTGTTGTGGCAACTTGTTTCACTGTCGAATCGCACGGGTATCCCGCATCCCTTCTCCTCGCCGCCGCTCTGCGGCGGCTGGCACCCGCCACTGCCCAACTCGGGCGGATTTGACGGTACGACTGTCCCAGGCGGGCTCTGACCTGTCGCTACTTCTATGGACGTCGCGGTGTTAACGTGATCGCATCATGTGACCCGTAGGTGACCCAACCCCGGATCTAACACTTTGCCGATCGAACGTAGTTTGGATACGCTGACTGGCCAGTTCCAGCGGGGCCGTGTACTGGGCGAGAAGGGATGGTGTGTGAGATGTCATGCCAGATGGTGTGCCATCCACCAGTGCAGGATAGCGAAGAGTGTGCGTGCTGAAAATGCACACATGGGAAGTGAATTTGCCAGCCAGGTTTTCCCTTCTGAGACCCGTTTGGGTGCAATGCACCCTTCGAGTCACCGTGGCTTGTGCGAGCTGCTGCCTCCGCAAAGCAGCTTGGCAAGGCCAGTGCGTCAGAGCATCTTTATTGGTGGGTGCTATTGTCCCGGCGGAGCTATTCGGCTATCCGAATAGCACCGCACTTCAAAAAACCATCATATATAACGGTTGGGGAGCAGTAGCACCCCAATAGCGCCCCAAAGCTGTTCGGCTCCAAGCGGCGCTATTTTGGCACCGAATAGCACCGCTCGGGGCCGAATAGCACCCCAGAATAGCACCGGTGCTAGTCGCACAGAACATTGTAGTGCTGCCACGATGCTATTCGGCATAGGCATAGCACCCACCATTGCGGTTGCACACAGGGGGGCAATAGCACCGGTGCTATTCGACAAATGCCGCCTTAGTAATGTGGCACGGCGGCCAATGAGAACCGTTCCTGATAGCTCTGCCAGTGCAATAGCATCGACCGATAAAGATGCTCTTACTGGTTGCCAGCTTGGTCGGGGACGATGAGTTGGAGATGGGGAAAGTTGTGCTGTGTTGTTGGATCTATTGTGTGACCTGTGACTTGCAGCAGAACTTGGCTATTTGCATATGTAAGGCAAGCTGCTTTGAATATGTTGGGGTCTAGCTCGCTGCATACAACGCAGTTGGATGGATGGACCTGTGATTGAGGAATATTACTGTGGTGAATAGTGAAAACGCAATTACCAAAACGTCTCCAATGTCTGGGGAGGTCAGTAGGGCGGGACACCCTGGGACTGGTGCAGCTGCCAGTGAAGCTAGCTGCGATCAGTGCACATGATTTTGCTGTATCTAGTAGATTTATATCGTTCCCATCGAACAGGCTTGTGGCAGACCAACGCCATAAGTTGGCTGCCCAATCGGTGTAGAGAGTGGCTGTCACTTGTGCACTGTCTTGACATTTGCTGTCCTGAAACTCACTGAGAGTTGGGAACCTTTCACACTGTTTTGAAGCGCACTCTTCTGTGAACACCAGCTCTGGTACTGCTCATTATGCACAACAGCTCAGGACAGATTGTGAAATGGTCTCAAGTAATCGTCAGTTAAGGGACTTGGTGTGAGTAAGTACTATGAAGCAAATTTCTGGTGCTGTACTTGAAGAACGAATTCTGGGCTTGCCCAGTTTGCGTTTTCTGTGTGAAGGACTGCTTGGACTAGCCCTTGTGCAGACTGTCACTGGGCATTCGTGCTGGTGACTTATGGGGCCGCAGGCCTAGTGCGGTGCATTTTGGACTGCCCTCTACGGGGCCTTAGGACACCAGGCTGCTGCGGTGCTTGGTGAGAACTGTGCATACAGTCATAAAGACAGTGGCATACAAGCAACAAAACGGTGGCATACGAGTAGCAACATGTTTTTCAGCCTGGCGCACAAATCTTCGTCCGAGGAATGCATCTTATAAGCGTAAATTTCCATCAGCTTGTGCACAGCTGCCCATTCTGCAAATCTGACCTACTTTTCCAAGAGCAAGTTCGCACATGCGATTGCTCAACTTGAATATGTGTTGTGTGCATCTGTGTATTGTTGTGTGGTGCACAATGCAACAATGCTACTGCCACTGCCATTGCTGCATGCCACAGCTGGGGACTTCGCAGCGTGCATGGCACAGTTGGTGATGTGCTGCTGACGTGTTACCAGGAGCAAGTCCCATCCAGGAATGGGTACTGGCACATCTAGGGGTGCCAACCGCAACGAGCGGCAGGAGATGTCGACAGGACTCCAAGGTGTCACAGAAGTCAACCCTGTGAATGCAGGGAACCTTGTGAAGCAGGTGCGCTTGGGTATGTAAATCGCTGGTGAATCATGTTGGTTCCTGAGCGTGTGCATGACAGTCCAGGTGTTGCCAGGTGCTAGTCTGTTTGCAGCTGCTTCTGATTCAGTGCTGCCCCTGTCGCTGTTCTGGCTGTGCCTGCTTTGAGGAGACTGGAAGCCACAGCTGTGATCAGGGTGCGAGCTTGGACGCTTTGCTTGCAGTTGCGCCTGCTGTGGCTGGCTTCGTTGCAACTTAGCCTTGGTTGCATTTCCCCCATAGGAAAGAGCATGGACATTTTTTGACAAAGGTGATGGGTGGCTGCCTGGTGCTGAAGAATTGCGATCATGCTATTTTATGGTGCTGAGTTGGTATATGTGCCCTGTTGTTAATGGCCAACTTTGTCTAGCATTCTGGGAAAGGATTTATCTATCAGTGCTGTGTGACTCCACATGTGTGTTTTTGTGTTCTGTGGTCAGATAGCAGAGCATAAGTCTGAGAAGCTCTCTAGTGGGCGGCGTGAAGGCTACCGCCCATCTGACGATAGTGCCCTTCACGGTGGCTGGCATCAGACCCCAGAGCCAGGGTCAGCAACCATGATCGGCAGGAATAGTGGGGAATTCAACAGACAGTCTACAAGCACCCGGGGTTCCACAAGCACGCAAGGTAGGGTGAAGCTGTCACAGCATGTCTGAGAAATGAAGCGAGACAAAGGTATGGCAGCCTCTGTTATGCAGGGGATGCAGGGCTAGTGGGTGTGCACAATGAGCATACACCTCTGTGCCACTTTTCTTACAGCGAGAATTCCCTCTACATTATTGCATCCAAAGCTTTACTGCTGTGCGGCAGCAGTATTGAGGGTATTCTTGACTCACCTTGCTGACTAACGTAAGGTTTCACTCTGGTTACTAGTGCCTGTTGTCTCGCACACAAGTTGTGACAGAGACCATCATGTCACCCTGCTGACAAAGGACTGTGAAAATTTTCAGGTTCGCGCCCGGGGGGCAGGCAGCCTGGTGGTGCATATGGGCTGTCAGATGACCACCGTGGTGGGGTTGTGCCCATCCAGGAGTCCAGCTTTTTCATGTCCAGTTGGCACTCCCCTGCTGATGGGGGTGGTCGGGCCTCAGGTTCTCGTGCGGCCTCCTCTGATGCTGGCCGTGGGCCACAGCCTTCTGGGGAGGGCAGGTCAGGCCGCCCTTCCCAGGAACACATCGCAGCAAGGTCATCCTTCTTCTCCTCCTCAAAGCCTTCATCCACAGCTGGCAGCCAGGATTATGATGCAGGCCCCACCACAAGTCAGAAGAGGCCGTCTGAAACAAAGAAAAGGGTTTCAACTGAGCAGCCGATATCCCATAAGGATGAAGGCAGCTATGTTGACTCGTCGGCATGTCAAGAGTCGATGCAGCGGGTACGGCCATCGATGGATATTGCGGGGGGCCCAGTTGGGGCCTGGGCCGGCTCTTCAGGTGCGCCAGAGAGGATTTCCCTGCAGATCGGCATTCGGGCCAGCACAGCTGACCCACGCAAGGTGTCCGAGAGCTCCAGCGAGCTGGGCCCTCCAAGGACCAGTGCTGAACTGTTGCCTGTAGGCATCCCTCCACCGCCCCCGCCCCGAACGGCACCCCCTCCAGATAGTCTGCGGGAGGCGTGGGCCGATGCAGAGCCATCCACCCCAGAGCCCAGTGCAGGCATGTCCACAATGTCCGCTCCGCCGCTCAATGGCCAGTCCAGCAACGCCTTGATGCAACACCCAGCCAGTGGGCCCCCAGCAAGGCAGATGGACGCGAGTGGGTACCTACCGCCAGATGTGCTGCAGTCGATGGGTCAAATGGAGTTGGCGGGAGGAGGGGCACCATCGGTCGGTGAGCCCGGGGGTAGTGGGCCGAGGGGTCATGCCAATGTCAGGAGCAGCTTTGCTGCAGAGAGGAAGAGTGTAGAGTACCAGCATGAGTTTTCCAGCTTGGACATATTCCAGAACGCAGTGGAAGATGGCTCAGGTGGGTGTGCTTCTGCTGCACACAGCTTTGGACTATTTGACTTATCGACCATTTGCTCTCTTCGAATTTTCAGAGACTAGGTTTGTTCAGTGGACAGAACAGTGTTGCCTGTTCCGCTTTGCTAAATGCTGTGCCACGCACTGTGATTCTGAGAGACTTCCTTCCTAGAGTTTGTAGTAGATGAGATTTGACATCCGTGCTGCTGGCACCTGAATGTCGCAGGCAAAGCCATGCTATGGCACCTCAAAAGGACCTGCCTTTGCCAACAGGCGACTGCCAGAACTGGTGCCGTTGCACATTTTGTTGCCTCTACATACCTTTTGTGCAGTTTAGGTCTGGGGCACCAGTTTGGTGCCCTGCAGTGCAGCGTATCACAGTATATTGAAACACCTCGACGTTTCAAAAATAAAGCATAGTATTTGAAAGAGCTTATTTGCCATAATTTGCGCAATGGTGGTGTTGATGACTCACTACAAAGCTATTGCAAACAAATGCAGACAAGGGAATGGGTTGCCTTTTGGTGAATGCCTGACACTGGCAGGCACATCCATTCCCCATAGAATTCCCCCCTTGCCGCGTCCATCGCTGCATAGGCATGGGCTGGATGGCCTGCTAGCACAAAGCCAGAGGCAGTTGCTTGAGCAGTACCAGGGCTGGTGCATTTCAATTTTTTCCATCGCCTCTTTCCAACCAGGTCTTGCTTTGTATTCTCTGCAAGAGCACCATACACATATTTTCGTTGCTTGGCAACAAGGGCAGACTGCTGCATCACTGTGCTAAAGGGTGTTATGTGTTGTGGCCCTCCACGGTCCTTTGCTGTTTCATGCATCTACAGGGTCTCTTATGTGAGGACTTGCTTTGTTCGCTCATTGTTTGTGCCCTTGTCTGCACAGTCTCCCGCCTGAACAGCGAATCATTCTCAGGGGAGCTGCGGCGAAGGTACCACCAGCTGGCGGTCCTGCCTGCTGATGTGCCTGTCCCCATTAGTCTGCTGGCCCGCCTGTGGGGCACACCTGACCTGCATGATGCAGAAGCTGCTGCGAGCCTCATGGAGTCAAGAAAGATCCTGAAGATGGCAATCCTTGAAGACGACAGTGCCTGGTGCATCATCAGCCCTTTCCACCTGGGAAGGCTGCAGGACATGTTCAGGGACAGCTTGAAGGCGCAGCACTCGCGACTGGTGAACCTCTACAGGCAGGGCTTCCACAACCTGGCACTGGTGCCTGACGACCAGTACTTCATGCAGAACATCGCTAACCACCTGGTGGAGGCTGACAGGCTGGAGGAGATGGCGGGTTTGTTAAGGGACCCGATCTGGCTGGAGACCAAGCTCCGCAGCTATGGTACCGGTGCTGTTGTGTCAGACTTCAGGAGGTACGTTGTCGGCAGTTTCGTTCTCATGTGCACCATGCCCACTGAGTGGTGAATTAGCATACAAGTGTGTCGAAATTCACTTGCATTTGTGGATGTCTATGCCTACTAACAACATGTGCATTGTAACTGTCATGCTTCAACATACTTCTGAAAGGAAGTGTGCCCAAATGTAGTCCCCTTTTTGGAGGCTGAGGATTGTCAAGTTAGGCAGCCCTTGCTGAGCAGAAGATTGCCAGGTTCCATTGTGCGCTGTGGAGATGCTGTGGAAGCCAGCAGTTGCGATATTGGCACAAGGAACATGCAGCACTGCACTTCCCTTGACAATAACTCACAGCGTTGCGAATCCTTGCACATGCCAGTGTCAATGTTTGTCATGGAAGGCAGCATTTTGGCAGTTGTGTCGCAAGTTCAGCATGCTTTTCTCTTCTTCCCTGAGGTGGTGTAAAAAGAAGAGCACAGCAACACTGGGAGTCACAGTTTCCTGCCAGTGCTTCATTCCTGTCCACCAAACAAAGGCCGGAAATCTTGTCAGCTCAAAGCATGGTGCAGTATGACTGCAGTCCAGAAACGATGAATTGTAAGATTCTGAGAGAGTGGGGTCAGTGCTTCAAGATTCCTGTGGCATTGATGCTACACTGTCAGCTGGCAGGATCCCTGTGGTGCCGCTGGGCTACGGTGAGCTTCATGTGCAACAACTGGTGTCACGAAGTTTCCTAACAAAAGAAAACCTTGTGTATCTCAAAAAAGGTACATCATGGTAACATTTCTCAAGGTAAATCCCAACCATTTAAGCTGCTTCACAGGTGTCACTGTTGTCTTCACGTGCCCACTCAAAAGTGTAAACCCAACCCACAATTCCTGTCACAGGTACCTGATGGTGAAGGAGGATCCAGACATCAAACTCCTCCTGCGATCATTCCAGATGTCAGCAGCTGCCAGCCTGGATCACCCCAACCTGTACATTCTCAAGGAACAGATGCTGTCACGCCTGATGGTCGCGGCACAGCGTACCAACCTTGGGGAGTGGTATGAAACAGCTCGCGCTGAGTGCTGGCTCGCTGTGCCCCATCGACGGGCACGCAACATGCCTGTGCACATGCTTCCCAGGCGCCCCACTCTTGAGCAGGCTGGTGGCCTGCAGCGCTTGATCCTGCGGGGACACTCTGAGGCTGTCAGGAAGGTTGTGCTTGCGCCCAATGGGATGGAGGTGATCACAGGCTCAGCGGATGGTGCGGTCCGTGTGTGGGACATGGAGATCGGAGACTGTGTGCTGCTGCTGGAGGAGCACCAGGGGCCCATTACCAGCGTGTCAATATCAGCCGATGGCCAGACGCTCGCATCAGGCTCTGATGATGCTGTGGCGATCGTGTGGGACTTGTCATCAGGCATATGGCGGCACAAACTACGTGGACACAAGAAGAGGTACTTTGGCTGTCGTTGTTGCCTCTGTATGTGCCTCATCGAGTTCATGGATCGCATGACAGGTAGCCATGCCCTTGCATCAATATTTGGTGATGGCTGGCACATGACACCAACAGCAAGAATGTGTATTCCCTCGCAGTGCACAGGCACATCCATCTATGTAACCTGCGCACAATGCGATTTGTGGACACCCAGTTGTCCTCCAGGATCAGCCTGTGCCACTGGGATGCTACAAGTACCATGGCAGCGCCCCAAGACGTTGGCTTTCCCGCACCCCTCGCTTCCACCGAGTTGATGAACTGCACCCAAAGGCACCTGTTGACACCTGTTGCGGCCACAATGGCCTTTGCTGTGAGGGTCTTTGGACTGCTCAAGGCATCTGGCTCTCCCAGATGCACGAGTAGCTGCACTTGAAAACCGGCTTCCAGGGCAGGAGAACTATTCGCGACTCTGGCTGCGCCCTGGTGCAAAATGCCAGGGAACATGGCCCCCGCGATGAAGCGGTGGCTAGCATGCGCCAGTGCTGCGATGATGTGGAACTGCAGTCGCTCGCAAAAGCATGTGAACGTGAACCCTCCTTGTGGCAAGCAGCGTGGCTTGCAAAGGATGCACACAAGCAAAGCAAAGCCACATTACACGTAAACCAATAATCATGCTGACTGTTTGCCTTGCTCACAGTGCCACAGCAACACGGTGGCTGCTGCGGCAATTTTGTTTGCACATCCACTGATTTCCAGATCAGGAATACTGTGGGCGATCACGATTGGATGAACATTGGTGGTCCAATCACAACCGTTGTTGCAGTTGTGCCTCCTGCGGATGACCATCCCGTCGCAATGTAATTGTGACCTGCTTCGTTATCATCGGCACAGCGGCATGTCCACTCCAGCAATACAACATCATGGGATGCACAGCACCTCACCCTCCCCGATATACAACCCCCCCTTTCTCTCCATGGTACGCACAGAAGGTGCTGGCGGCTGGTCGATGCCTTGAAAAACCTGACCAACAGGTTGTTATGCCCAGCCTGTGCCTGCTAGACACGATGCTGATTGCACATGAAATAATGCAGGTGTGCCCCTAAAATACAGTGCAAAACTGGGAACCCTGAAAGTTCCAAATGCAGAGGGTTGAATATGCCCTGGCAGATTTTAGGGTGCTGTACATCACTCTGCATGCACAAGGTCACACTTATGTCCCACTACAATATGTTGAAAGCACAAGATCACCAGCCTTTGAGTGGCAGTCTAGCGCTGCGCCACACTGTTTGCCTGCAGTCTGATACAGCGCTTCGGCTTATGCACAGGATCAATGCGGTGGCCATCGACCCCCAGGGCCGCCGTCTGGTGACCTCATCGCAGGACATGACTACCCGCATATGGAGCTTGAGCAAGGGCAACTGCCTGCATGTGCTCTCCGTTGTGGGCGGTGGCATGGGCCCAACCTGGGAGGATTGGACGGCTCATCATGGTGTGGCAATCTCACCTGACAGCCGCCTTCTAGCCACGGTGGATGCAGAGTACTGCATTCGCGTGTGGAAGATGGAAACGGGGGAGCCTATGGATACACTGGAGGGCCACACTGACTGGGTGAAGGCACTGGCATTTGCAGGGGACAGTGGCAGCTTGCTGACTGCATCACATGACAAGACGATCCGGCTGTGGGACCTGTGGACAGGGGTGTGCAACAAGGTGTTCACTGGCCACAGGGGCCGGATCAACAACTTGGTGGTGACACCTGATGGCAAGCGGGCGGTGTCGGTATCTGATGATAACACTGCCATTGTGTGGGATATCGAGAACCAGAGGATGCAGTCTGAGCTGTGTGGCCATGGGGCATGGATCAATGATGCGGCCATCACACACAATGGGCAGAGGGTTGTGACAGCCTCTGGTATGTGTGCTCACCTTTTGTAGGGAATCCACTGCATTGTGTCTGTGTGTTGTGTCTGTGCATTGTGCCTGTGCTCTGATGAGGTCCTTCCTTGTGAACTGCCATCAGGTTCTTTGGTGCCAGTTGTGTCGCATCTGGTTGAAGGGTGCTACAGCACAGATAGAATCGTCTCACTGTCCACTTGAGTACCTCGATTGGCTTAAGAATCCAAACAATGAGGACATAGGGTGGTGAACCATTCCAGGGTGAGTGATAATCTGGTGCTGCGTGCTTGCAGGCGATGACCTTGCTGTCTATTGGGATGCAACCACTGGTGAGGCGCTGCGTGTCTGCAAGGGTCACAGTGGAGAAGTGAATAGTGTTGAGCTGTCGTACAAGGGAAGGTTCGCCATCACGGGTGAGCGTGCACTGAACTTGCAGTCCCCTGGTGTTGGGTCTTGTGCAATAGTGGCACTTGAGTGCGCTGTCGGTTCTAAAGGCGCGCTAAACAAATGACATTGTTTGTGGGTGCAGTGCAAGGCCACCAATCCTGGACAAAGTATATGGTGTGTTTAGTCCAGCGTTTTTGTTGTATTTTCTTGTGTTCTGTGCTTTGAAGAGAAAGGGCGTATTCACATAGCAGAGATTTAAGCCTCCGAGGCTGCCATGCTTGTTTATATTGTTTAACACGGTGCACTGACACCTGGGCTCAGCATAACTAGTGTGCGCAACAGTGGTGGCTGGCCTCTTGTTGCATGTTTGAGCCCAGATGTGCCCTCCTGGTGTGTGTGTCTAGCATCTGCCCAATAACCACTGTCCTGTTGTCCAGATTGTCAAAGAATTGCGAATTTCCTTGACAGTGTGCTCCTATCTGGCGTCAAATTTTGACTTAACGGCACCGGTCACCTCTCAGGATGTACACAGTTGTCCAAAAACCTTGTGGGTTAAAGGCATGGAAACCTGCATACCAAACATCAGCTGCTTGTGTGTAGTACTGCACAGGGCAAATCGTCCCGCTATCTGCCGGAGCAGGGTTTAGACTACCAACGATCTGATCATTGCGAGTTTGCTGGGCTGTTTCTGGACCATGACCCTTGCTTTAGGATGTTCACCGTTTTTCTGCTATTGGACTTTCATCAACACATAAAACGTGTGTGCCTGTGTTGCAGCGGCTGAAGATGGCACTGCTCGTGTTTGGGACCTCCAGGCTCCCAACGTGCCACTTCCAGAACACCACCAGGGCAAGGTGATTGGCATAGTTATGGCCCCTGATGGTGTCCATGCTGTCACAATCGGAGAGGACAATGTGGCCCTTGTGTGGGACGTAAAGTCTGGCGAGTGCTTGCACATTTTGCGGGGCCATAGCACCGGCCTGCACTGGGCATACCTTGTCAGGGAAGGAGAGCTGCTGGTCACAGGCTCAGGTGAGAGTGGCAGGGCTGATAACAGAAGAAAATCTGTGATAAATATAAAGAAAAATAACTGTTGATCGTATTTGTGAATTTTTTATATCTAGTTAGGGCCCTCTCCTGCTAGGAATATCGGATGTACGATTGTGATACCCTGAAAGCATCCTGTCATGTATGTATCCCTGAGACCTGCTACTGAATGTAAAGCAATGCAAAGTCTAAACCCCAAAACCAAGCCAAAGTATTCCCAAGTCAAGACAGGCCCAAATTATGGTGACATGGAAGTGGAATGTGCCGGATGGCAGGCTCCAAGAGCCCAAGACTAGTGGGCCCCACATGGGAGTCCAAACAGTCACGAATCCTCTGACACCTGACCTTGATGTGCTGGACCTCCTGGTCAAAAGCCAAGTGCACATTAGCCCTAAAACGTAATGTTCTCTATTGCTGTGTTGCTCATTTGGGCAAGTGCTGTTGGGATTCATGATATTGACTGGTGTTGTGAATATGTTGTTAGCAACCAGGAAATAGTCATTTTTGAAGGCGTTGCTGCACAGCTCCACATTGATTGCAAGAGGATTATCCTGCGGCAGGCTGTAGCAGTGCATGTCATCGTGGCCCTCCAACGTGCATGTGCCAAGTTGTCAGTTGAATTCAAATATGTTCAGAGCGTTCACTGCAGTATTTCTGTTTGATGCACTGAGGAACCAAATATGCGAATGGTGACTGAGCTATGTGTTGCTGCACTTGTGCAAACTGCACTCCAATGGCAGCGCCAGGGAGATTGACTGTCATTGTCCATGGCCAGGGGATCGACGTATATGCCTATGGGACGTGAAGTCTGGCATCTGTGTGAACACGATGCCTGACCATCGCGGTAGCCGGATGAAGTCCTTTGCGATCTCCCCTGATGGCCGCCGTGCAGTTATCGTTCTCTTCGACTCCACAGTGTCTGTCTGGAATCTGGACACGATGGAGTGTACGCACCAGCTGATGAAACGCGCAGAGCGGGATGGCATCCGTGTCCATGCTGGCGGTGTCAATGCCGTGTACCTCATGAAGGCCGGCACAACTGCTTTGACCATCAGCAAGGACTGCACCGCCCGTGTGTGGGACCTTGAGACTGCACAGTGCACCATGATGTTGACTGGTGGGTGTCAGACCGTGCAGAAAGAGCATTGTAAGCAGTTGTCTAGTTTGCATTGAGAACACTGTGCTGAAATCAGCATAGTAACAGCCTTGGCCCGGTGCAGGGTGTTGCTAAGAAGTGTGTTGCTGTGCCCTGGAGATTGGAGCATAAACAGGGCAGATCGCCATGCTCCTGAACACTTTATGCCAAACCACGATTCCAATGAAATTATTGCTACTACTTCTTAGGGTGTTGCAGTACTGTCCAACGTCTGTAACGCTTGGATGCATGGATTGGCTTGAACCGGAACTGGTCATGCATTGCTTCTCATTTAGAGCAAAGGAATTCTTCCCGTGGGTCATGACTCTGCCACAGTGGGGGGCGCGACAGTTACACAGTAATAAGGATGTTCAAAACCAACCTGAAAGGGCAAGATAGTGTTTGAAACAGTGACCTAGGACAAGTTGATCATCAATCCCGGTCCTTGCAAGTTGCAGCCAAGTGTTGATGAAGGCAGTCAACAAGGCTGTAAAGACAAGCTGAATAGCGTGCTATTGTGTGAGCCTGAATGCGATGGCACTTCTGGGGCTGTGTTGTTGTTTTCTTTTAGGGAATTGAATCAGATGTATAATTGGGCATTTAATAGGGGCGGTGGAGCAGATGGTGAGAATCGCATCGAATGCCAGAGGATGGTGCCTGTACCTCGTCGAATTTGCTTCACCCTTTGTAACGCTGTAGTCTTGCAAGGCAAATTGCTTCAAGGTGAAGCTTGCTTCGCCTTGAGCATACTCAACTGTTTTGTTGTCACTGTCCACTGTGCCGGAAAATCAGGGGGGGGTGCCCAGTGCATGGCATTTCCGGTCTGCCTTGGATTGCAGGTGTCAACCATGTCAGTAGAGTGCTGCCGACATTCCACCTGACTGCTACATTTGCCAAATGTTGGGCAACATAATTGACATAAGGTAAACATTGCCCTTGTAGGGCGTTCAGGGCTATGCTTCTAACAGCACAGTTTGTTGAAAGTGTTGTGGGCATGTCTCAAAATACTGAGCTGGTCTGAACAGAATGCCATGTTGGCAGCGAATGTTTCTGAGGGTTTGTTGGTTGTGCTGCATGATGACAGGGCATGAGGACGGACTGAGCACGGGAGTGGTGAAGGAGGATGGCACTATGTGCCTCACAGCAAGCTATGACAAGACAGCCCGTTTGTGGGACTTAAATACTGGCGAGTGCTCCATGGTGCTGGACCACCCAAAGGAGGTGGACCATGTGGCTGTGGACCCCCAATGGCACCGTGCTGTGACCATCGCGGAGGGGAAGACAGCCTGGCTGTGGGATATCAAGAAGGGGAGGTGCCTGGGCGTCCTGGAGGTAGGCTGAGAATATGCATGCAATTTGTTGGATTATTGTAGATCGGGACAACTACACCATTTGCCTGCATACAGATTCGACAGCATGTTTGTTCATAGTGTGCCTCACTGATTTGGTTGCTGTCTGTCTTGTGCAAGTACTGCTCTGACAGCTGCACTTGCCCCAGAAAAGCAGTGATCGTACAGGGTTGTTGCCTAGGTGCTGTGGAATCTGGACAGAGTCACATCTTGTGCCTGGTGTGGATGGTGTGTGGGATGCCTTGCCAAGGCTGTGTGCATGTGAGGGAAGCAGCGGCAGAATGTCATGCAGAAAGGTTTCAACTATGTGCCACTATGTTAGTGGGCGTGCAGTCCAGTTGGCATCACAGGCTGTGCTTGGTCAGCTGTGTGAGCCGAGAAAATGCGGAAGAAACAGTGTGTGGTGTTGGTAAACGAATGTGTCCACATGCAGCATGTAGTCCCACAGGTAGTTGCCAGCATGTGTCATGATCGGTGTTGAGTGGAGTAGTGGGGAATTCGGAGACTTTAAATGCTTACTAATTGTATGCTGAACTCCTGAGGACTTGGCGGCTGATGCAGGGCCACTCAGACGAGATCGCAGGTGCAGTCTTCTCCAGCGACTCACGCTTTGTGGTGACCTACTCCACCAACAGCGTGGTACGTGTGTGGACGGCCCACAGCGGCCGCCTGCGGGTAGTGTTTATGGGCGATTGCGGAATAACTTCATGTGCCTTTGGAGGCTCCAAGCTGTCAGACACGATAATCGCAGGTGATGGGAACGGATTGGTGCATTTCCTGGACTTCCCTGCTGAGGAGTTGTCCAGCTCACGCTCCAAGTAATGTGCTACCCGTCCTGGCTGCTGGCACTGGGCGGCTGTGGTTACGAAAAGCAGACGAAAGCTGTGCAGTTGAGGTAGCTGGACGAGTGACTGTGGTCCGAACGCCCTGGGCACAGAAGCTTGTTGAGTCATGCTGAGGCGGGCCGCCTGCACCATCTGTTTCACAACTGCTACATGGGTGCCAGACCACCAGGTGACTGTTGCTGGGGTGGGCGTGGTGCCGGTGTGTGCACCATTTGCCAGAATTTTGTGTACAGTATGTGGCGGCCTTGTGGACAGACATTTGGCTGGAGCCTGCGGTGCCAAAGTGCCAGGGCAGGGAGGGTGTGTGCAATTGTGCCCGTATGTTGCTCGATGGGGGAGTTTGGGGATTTTGATTACAGACAACAACGAATGTGGCCAGCACAAAAATGTTCTCTATTACTGGGGTGGGGAGCATGCGCCATTTTGAGGGCACTGTAGCGACAAAGAATGGTGGAGTCATCGCCAGTGAATAATAGGGACTGTAGGGTAAGGGCCATGGGCCGTCCAGATTGGGCTTGGCCTGTGATGCGCCCAAGCCGGATTAGCATTCTGTGGCCAGGACTGACTGTGTTGAGACGCAGGCAGGGCCAGTCGCGAGGCCCCCGTTCTTTGTCATTTTAGGAAGTGAACACCAGGGGATATGAAGGGTCTTGAAGGACATCAGAGGAGGAACTGCATGAAATATTAGCCATGAACCATCTGGAAACAAGTGGCGACCGATGGTTGTTGATCATTTGGATATTACAGTGGGGGAGGGCTTTACTGTGGAGTGGCAGCGTCTGATGGCTCAAAGGTTGGCACTTCGTGCCTTTTTGCTCTGTTTTGAGAGGGCCAGTGGGAGTGACAGGTCCCTGCGTAGCCAGACTGATTGTCATTAGTGTGAGGCACAACTGTTGGGCGAAGGGCAAGTTTGTGAGATTGGAGCCAGCATTTTCGTATTTCGGACATTGGAGAAAGAATGATAAGTTGACGAGGTGTACATGCGTGTGTAGGCAAATGTAATCTTCGGGTGTAAGGTGGCGATGTGGGGCCATGGGATTTAGGGTTTGGGGGACTGTGCACGACTTCATTATCAGCGTGCAAGGAGGAGCAACACTGTTCAGTGTGCTTGGGGCTGGGCTAGGTGGGGAAGTAGAGCGATGCCATGCATAGAGGGAGATATAATGGGATAGGTCACAAGGCGCACTGGCCTGTGTTTGGGCGATCTTTGTGTCTCATTTCTGTTTCTTTGTGTCTTTTCCCGTTTCTCGCTGATGTGTGGTGGAGTATCATCGTGCAGATACGGCTTTAGAGCCTGCTTCGTGACCGTGGAGAATTGAGCTCTGGGCTGTGGCGGTCAAGTGGTGCCGGAGTACCTCTGGCTCTGGTCGAATAGTTGGCGGGATGGAAGGCGTCACGGGCAGGTTGTGTGCACGGGTGCCACATGCCCTCATAGACTTGTAGACAAGTGTGTTGTTCTTAGCGCGAGCCGCCTGAGGCTAAGTGCGATAGGTCTTTTTGTCGCACCAGGTTGACGGAGGCATGTTAGCTGTAGAGGGACCGTTGATGTGTTGTTGAACCTTTAATCAACATATCTTTACCACAGTGTGTAACAGCGAGCTGGGCAGTTGTGTTGCAGCAGCATGCAGCTGAAACACTGGACCCGTGCAGATATGCCTGGAAAGATGTGACACGCGGGCTTTCGGGTCTTGCAGTTGTTGCATGGCCATAATGTGTGACTGCTGACTATGCAACGGCTGAGTCACGCCCACATGTTCTCTCTCTCTTCAAAGGGGAGAACCAATCTAGAGGCCAAAGCTAAGGGCACTCAGACACAAGAAACCAAGAAACAACCAACAAAGATTCCAGCCAGAAGAGCACAAGCCACTTGGTATTGAATTGTACCACAAACTGGGCCAAAAGGTAAATCAAAAGAAGTCCTAGGCAAGGCACCAGCACCTTCCCCCCTTCCTGCACACTCCCTTCGTGCATGCTCAGCCTCTCACAGAAAGGTGAGGCGCCCCTTCATGGCAGCAACCTCCCTTGCCAACCTTGTCAAAGGGAGGTTATCCCTGGGCATCAATGACGCCAATTTTTGATAAGTGACTGCAACAACTCTGTGCACCAAATGGGCACCCCGAATAGAAATCCCAGATGCAAGCAAGAGTGAGTTCATACACACTGTAGTCACAAAGTTATAGCCCAATGCGTTCCACAATTCCCACCATTCTTTCTCTAGAACACACCAAACCACCCCTATTTGATTGGCTGGCTCACGCGCACCACCAAGAGAAGCCAAATATCACATCCAGAGCTTCAAGTGCTTGTTCCTATTCCTGATCTTATGGGGTCTTCTCTTGTCTCCTGATCCTCGAGGATCCTTGAATACACCTCAGCATAGTAACCCGATGCTTGTTGACTCAAATCTCTAGTCACTTGATCTTGCTTTGCCTTCAGTGCAACTCTACTCTGTCTACACACTTCGCAGCTCCTTTCAATGGCTTTTTGCCTCGCTTCTGGGCCTCTCCGATCTTGATCACCATGGTTTTGTCTCCAGCACACATTCCCATGTCTCTTCACCACACCGCAGCACTCCAAGGCTTGTCAAACGCTCACCGGCTCATCGACGATGTTGATACTCAGTCCGCAACACTCATCATAGCCAGCACTGCCAAGAGCTTGGGTTTTCCAGCCTCCAACCTGAACCAAAACGCCTGGATTACATTGGCCAAGATTTTCTGAGGCTCACAACAGCTCCACATGCTCATGCAAAGCACAAAACGATTGTCGACATGCAACACAAACATGCGCTCAGCACTCAAGGTGCAGTGCTGCCTTTCACATAGAATTCTATGCAAGGCCTGGCCTTTAGCACTAGAACACAGCCTTTGACGCATTCCCAAAGTCGAGCGCACGGTGTGCAGACTCTGCAACTTGCAGCCCAAACCATCTTTTGATGGCCTTCCTCAGGTGCACAACTCTTTGCAACACAAAGAAGATACTATTCCATCGAGTCTCTACAAACTTGACTAGCAGAAGTACCCTTTGTAGCTTGGTTACCCGCCCTCTTCATCCACCTCATTAGAGGGCACCTTTTATGTGGACACCCCTTCATCATTACTAAAAACCATATTGCTCTCCTCCCTTATTATTTCCACTTATAGCCTATGTAACTTAACAGCGGCTTTTGTGCTAGTTTGCATATGGTTAATCAATGAGATAACCCTGCGATTTGCATATTCACGGGGACAATCAAGCCAGAGTGGATGCTATGTAGGAAGAATTTGGAAGGGGGCCCGGAAAAGGCCGCATGGTCGACTGCCCACCGTTGGAGCTCTAAGCATAGGATTGCATGGCAGCGATCAATGCCGTGGGGGCCAATCAAAGAAACGGTCAAGAAATTCAAGCTGCCTTAATTTTTAGATTGAGTTAACCTACTCCTCCGCCAGAGTAGGTTCCGGCCTGGTGGTTGCCAAGGCAACCTCAAGGCCCAACGCTAGGAATGAGCAGGCGATGGCGCAGGTTGGGGTGGCTACCGTTGTGAGACCCTACAGCACAAATTGCATGCAAAACATTGCGAAAGCTGGACCCATCCCCAAACTCTTAGTAAAACTAAATTTGGACCATTTGCACGTCTATAATACAAGAGTTTTTACCTTTGGTGTTTTGGATATATTTTGTCTACTTCTGCATTGTTAGATTGTGCAAGATGATTACCTCCATGCTCCTTATCACTGGATTCACCTCCCCATGGGTTATTCTGCCGTGATGTTCTTCTTAGCTATTGGAGTCACTTTGCTTGCACATCCAGATGCAACTCGTGTATGTCAAGCTCCTGTCAGGGTGCCTGCTCCCATCCACCTGCGAGCAAGTCAGAATGCCGAAAGGCATCAAACATCCACTCTCTCTTCAACACCCTCTTTTTTTCAACCTTTCCAAGATTCAAATGGTTATTGCATTCTTTCCTGAAAGCTCATTGTTCTGCTTTCTTTTGATCCTTATGGGTTTGTTTCCCTTCCACGTGCATAGCCTTATCAAATTTGGCTTTGTCGCACTTACGCCTTTTGGCCTATTGCAATCTATATTACTGTGCCCATTCTGAAAAATCCACTAGAAATGGCAACGCATTCGACAAGTATTCCAATGAAGAAATTCTATCCGGATAGTTTAAACTGGGGTTATCAGGCTCTTTCCTTTTGAAACTGCTTACCGATTCATCTATCAGTTCTAGAATGTGCTCAAAAGCAAAGCGCATCTTGGCTTACCAAGCGGGGTTATTGTCTCTGATCAAAGATGCGATCTCTAGACTATATCATCATCATTATTGCAGCAACTATACCGAATTCATTGGATGGCCGAATTTTTGGGTTATTATGTTGCATCCTTTATCCAACTCCTTATAAAGCTTCTGATATATTGGGTTCCACATGCTAAAAATACTCTTTTGCCACCTATAATAGGGTGTAAGTTTGGGGGAATACTCCCACAACTCCCCTTTGTTTGGATCGTTGGTCAAGTCAATTGGCCCTCCTTTTGTCATTTTCCCTTGATTCATTTCCACGAAGTCCTCTTACTCTTACCAATCCCATTGTGTGACCACCCACTGGTATGTGCCTCCTTGTCACATCCACCTGCTGTACAGTCTTGGTGAGCTTGCCCGACCACCGCGGACTGTTGGGCCCATCTCCGCGGAGGGAGCGAGCGCCCCGATGTAGAATACCCTACGCAAGGTGTATAGGGGGTAGCATACCGTTTGCATGCCTACTGACTAGATGATGTAGAGGGCTTGAACATAAGCCTTGGAGTTGGGCTTCGCTGCGGCCATTCCACCGTGCAATAGTTGGTGATGATTTCTAGAATATAGCCCAAACACACATGAAATCATCGATCTATAGATTAATCAAGGTGCAATATTAGAGCAAAGTTGCAACACAACTTTAGAGTTGTAGCCCACATAAATACCCAATCTTGAGCGTCTAGGGCATTGGCCTTGCCGCTTGCAGCAAGTACTTGCGTCAGAGATCATGGAAGGTGGAGACCAAGGTGGGCCTGGCCAGAAGAGGTTGGAATAAAAATGGGGATGGTGTTCGTTCCCATCCCAGGAACGGACTTGTTGATGCGGGAGCTTCGAAGCTCCCTCGGGCGCACGGTCAGATGAAACGGGGAGTCGGAATCCCCGGGCGGTTACTACATTTGTACATTATACAAGATTATCATTAATTGTTCCGTTCATTGTCCGATGTCTTTTGTAACCACCCCAGGGCCAGTTTACCCAACTCAGACCCATTTAGGGTAATCAAATACATCTAATTCATCTACAAAAGCAACCGTATCAATTCTCCCCCCCCACCAAGTGTGGCCGTCTTCGGCCACGAGACCAACGACCCAGAAAACCAGCAAGAAAGAAGATACGGCGTACCCAACAGAAATCCACAGTAAGTCAGGCTA